TTATTTTGTTCATTAGTTTATTTTGTTGAATAGATTCCACTTATAGGTGAGATCATATGGTATTTGTCTTTCACCAACTACCTCATTTCACCTAGCATAATATTCTCCAGTTCCATCCATGCTGTTGCAAAAGGTAGGAGTTCCTTCTTTCCTTTTAAATGAAGATTGATTTTGTTTATTTTTTAAATGTCAAAATCCATTATAAAATATTAAGAAATTTAAATCCATTATAAAGTCTCAGCAATTAAAACAACACGACACCAGCAGAGAAATAATCAAGTAGATCAATGAAATAAAATGAGCATTCTAGAAACAAATGTATATATCTAACAATGTAATATGTGATTAAATTGATATTTCACATCAATGGGAAGAATAAGGTTTATTCAACAAATAAGGTGTATGGACCACTATTTCTTGAAATAAAATAAATATAGAGCCCTATTTCACACATTATACAAAAAATATGCAGGTGAGTTAAAAATCAATATGTAAAATCTAAGGAGTTTTTGGAGAAAATTAAAAATAATATTTTTCTTACCCTGAAGTAAAATATTCAAACCCAGAAGCTATAAAGTAAAATATTGACAATATGACTATATTAAACATTTAAGACTATATAGTAATATACATATAAAAAAGTTAAAGGACAAGTAATAGAATAGGAAATTATTTGCAACACATCTAAAAAAGGGTTAATTGGGTTTTTTTAGGGAAAAAAATCCTACAAACATATAATTAAAAAATGGATAAAGAATACTAAAAAGTCATTCAAAGCTTTTTAAAAAATAATAGAAATAGGCAAGAAATATACAAAAACAGGTTTAGTTTCAACAAATAATAAAGTAACAATTAAAATAACACATCATTGTCACAATCAGATTAATAAGTATTAAAAATATTGGTAATATTAAGTATTGGTGACTGTGAAAGGAACTGGGTAGTCATAGACTCTTTTGCTTCATCTCCTTTAGCTTATCTTGCAATGCTGATTTGGTAGAGATGTATTCTTTTAGCCTTCTTTTGTCTGGGAAACTCCTTATTTCACCTTTCATTTTAGTTGAGAGCCTTGCTGGATAGAGCAGTCTTGGTTGCGGGCCTTTGCTTTTCATGACTTGGAATGGTTCTTACCATTCCCTCCTGACTTGTAGTGTTTCTGTTAAGAAGTCAGCTGCTAGCCATACCGGGGCTCCCTTATATGTTACTGCCTCTTTCTCCCTTGCTTTCTTTAGGATTCTCTGTCTTTGATATTTGCCATTTTAATGATGATGTGTCTTGGAGTGGGCCTCATTGTGTTCCTCTTGAATGGGACCCTCTGTGCTTCCTGGACTTGTGTGACTTTTTCTCTCTTCCAGTTAGGGAAGCTCTCCATCGTTACTTTTTCAAACAGGTGCTCTATCCCTTGCTCCTCTTCTCCTTCTGGTATCCCTATTATACAGAAATTATTAGGTTTCAAGTTGTCCTGAATTTCCCTCAATGCCTCTTCATTCTTTTTGAGTCCTTTTTCATTTTCTTGCTCTTTCTGGGACCTTTTTTCTACCTTATCCTCCAGCTTGCTGATTCATTCCTCTGCTTCATTTAGCCTGCTTTTGATTCCTTCTATTGTGTTCTTCGATCCAGAAATTGTATTCTTCATTTCCTCTTGTCTCTTATTGATAGTTTCTATGTCCTTTTTCGTGCTGATACAGTTTGCAGTAAGTCCCTCATAGTTTCTCTGTAGTTTTTTTGTAATTCTCTCTGAGCTCACTGAGCTCATTGAGCTTCCTTAGAACTGTTGTTTTGAACTCAATATCTGATAGTTTACTTGCCTCTGTTTCATTGAGTTCTCTTTTTGGGGATTCCTCTGTTCCCTTCGATTGTGGGGTGTTTTCTTTTTCTTCCTATTATTTGTGAGATTCTTCTTTTTTGCTTCTGCTTCTTACATTGATCTGTCTTGATTTCCTGACTTTGTGGTGTGAACTTCTATGGTAGGAGACCACAGTTTTTTCTTTCTGGATCTGCCTCTTATGATGTCAGGTATTGACCCTGTCTGACCTTAGGCAGTCTGTTCAAGACTTCCAGGAATCTGCTGTCTGTGGCTGTCTCTGTAAGCTGTTAACCTAGCCACTCTGCACTCAGCAGGCTGCCTTAGACACCACAAGGAGGGGCAGAGTCTCTCCTGGGGGTGAGGTTATTGGATTCTCTTACACTGCTTCCGCTCAGGGGAGTTGTCTGCCTGGCCCAGATGGCTGCTGACATATCGGGGAGGAGTTGTCACTGGGATTTCACCAGCTACTTCCTCTGTTTTCTCCCCAAAGCCTCCATCTCCAGTTTCTCCTCAAGTGTCTCTAGACCACTCTGTGCCCCCTTTAGCCAGGGATCTACTATCTGTGGCTGCACTCTGTAGTCAGCAGTCAGGCTTTAGCACTACTGGGCCAGGGCTGAGTACCTCCTGGGGGGAAGGGTTATTGGATCCTCTCTCGCTGCTTATTCTCAGGGGAGTGGTCTGCCTGAGCCGGATGGCTGCTGCTATCTTGGGAATGAGTCAGCACCGGGATCCCGCCATCTACTCTCTCAGTTCTCTCCCCAAAGCCTCCTTCAGAGTCTCTCCTCAGGTGTCTCTAGCCCACTCTGTCCCCGCCTTTGCTGGAGACCAGGGTAAGTGACTGCAAATACAAATTTATGTGTTGGCCCTTTAAATGGCTCTTTGGGTCTCCAGCTGCCTGTCTCTGGCAGAGAGAAAGCCTGCTGCTTTTCACAGCTGGCCGTGTTCTGTGTAATTTTTGGGCTCTGGTGCTGTAGATCCCTGCTTTCGGTTTAGACACCACTTATCTCTGGGATCCAACTGGCCCTTTCAATATCCTTCTGGTGCTGCCACCTGTGGGAGCCCCACCCACCTTCTTGAGTCTCTACTGCACTCCTTACCAGCTAGGTTGTGCTAAAAATGATTCTTCTGTCTGCCCGAGCTTATATGGCTCCTCGCTCGGTATTGTTCAGTTGTTTGTTCCAGGTGATTTCTCCACAATTTAATTGTAATTCCAGATTGGTCCTGTGAGGAGGTCAGTGTGACTTCCACTCACTCCTCCACCATCTTGATTCTCCTAGAAACTAGGTAATTTTTAAAATCATACTACCAGAAAGTGGTGACAGGTGGTCTGACGCCCAAACTCCTAGGCACTTAATATTCTTAATTTGGGGAAATTTAGACATAAGAAATAAATCTTAGATTATTTTTATGAGTTTATATGAGCTAAACTGATGACATATATCAGAGAGGAAGATCACAAGTACATTTCAAATTAAGGAGTGAACATGAGGAAAATTATGTGGGAGAAAGCAAGGTGGAGATTGTATTACAGGCTAGTTAGCAATATTATATGCTTTCAAGAGGGGGGTTATTTCCTAAGTGTGTTAACCTAGATGCACAGAAACAATGGACAGTTCTTGATTATAAATATATATGTGTATGTCTGGAGCATGACTGCAACCATGACCTGCCTATTTAGGGATACATGGTCAGATCACTGTGTGAGATTACTTTCCATAGAACCTCCCCTTTTTTTTTCATCCATAGGAGGAAACATTTGTCTACCCTCATGTTTCTTTTGTCTGATTTAATAATCAAATAAACATAAGACAGATTAGCAAGAGAAAATGACCAATTTTAATTGCATGCATATGTATTGGAACCCTTCATACATGAGAGATTTTAAAACAGCAAGGGAGAATAAGGTATAGGATAATCTGAGCAAAGGATTACTTCGGGGCTTCAGAGGGAAGGAAGGTCATTGCAAGATAATAGGAGAGCAGAGGTACAGTAATTAATTAGAAGTTTGCCCTGCCCTACCCATAGGACATAAAAAGGTTATTTTTAATAATCTTTTATTGTGGACAAGGCCCCTAATTCAAATTCTTCTAGACACTTAAGGGGGATGAAGGGGACATAAATTTCTCTTGAGCCCACAGGGTCTTGGCTGCCTTTAACTCAAAACAATCTGCATACCACAGAGGCACATCTGGAGTGACTAATTCCAAACTCCTACATTAACCACTATGATTTACTACCTCTTGTCTAAAATTAAAGGACAGTCTTCCTGGTCATTTTAGTCACCAAAACAGTACTTCAGATGTAGACAGCTAGTTTAGAAGAGAATTTCCCAAACTTGGCAGAACCTAAGAACTTTTGGGGAAGTTAAAAACAGACACTTCTTAAGATTTAGTTTCAGTAAGTCCACCCTGGACTCTGAATTTTTAAGAAGTTTGACAAACACTGGCTTGTATTTCAGTTCAATGGTTTTTGCTGACAGGTCCTCATTTGGATCAGTTGAAGCTTTGTTATTTTTCTAGATGTGTGTCACCTTGTGCAAGCTGCTTCACCTCTTTGAGCATCAGTTTCCTCACCTGACAAACGAGAGTAATGATACGGCACCATTTCCTAGGGTTGTTATGTGGATTAAGTGAGCCTCTCCCAAAGTGTTTGGAGCAGTGTCTGATATGTAGTGAGCGATGATGATAATAATAGGATGCCGGTGATGACAGGGAAGCTGAAGATGTCTGGTGATTAAGTGCCATAGATCACAGCTGGTGCTTGGAGAACTGTCCTGAGACAGGGTTCAAGTCTTTTTGACCTTAAGGTAGTGTTCTCAGGTAGAATACAGGCGCCCATTTAAATTAGAATTTCAGATAAACAACGAAACACATTTTTAGCATGCGTCTCCTCTATAGCGCATGGGACATGCTTACATTGTCCTAAGCAATCATTCGTTGCCTATCTAGGCATTCTGCATTTTTATTTATTAAACCTGACAATCCTATCTGTAAGGAAAGGCTGGCCCCCAGCCTGAGCCTAAAGACACCCTTGTAAGCACCTGGACGCCAGAACGGGTGCCTTTACTCGCCAGGCGCCTCAGTCGATCCCAGAGGGGCCGTTCAAGCTTCCGCCCCGCCCAGGCAGCACCAGCAGCGTTCCAGCCCTGCGAGCCCGTCTGCAGGTCCCGCCCCGAGCAGAAGGTGCGCCCCGCCCCGCGCTGGCGGTTGGGCGGTGTGGAGTTGAGCCACTTCCTCCCCCTCAGTGTACTCGTACAAGGCAAGAAATTCGCTTGCCATGTCCGCGGCGGAGGTGGGGGGTGTTTTCCACAGAGCCCGGGGCAGGACCCTGGACGCGTTTTCCGCAGGTACTCGGGCAGGGGATGACTTCAGGGCTGCGGAACCTTCCGCCGGGGGAACCTTCAGTCTGGGTCCCCGCTCCTCTAGCCGGACCCCGTTGCGGGGCCCGCAGCCGGTGCTGGGGACCAAAATAACGTCCGCACAGCCCGCAAGTGAAACCTTTCTTGGGGCTTTGGAGACAAGTGTGTCCGCGCAGAGTCGGGTCAGGGAGGCTCTCTGGCCTTGACTTAACTTCCCCGAGACTAAAGAAGATAGAGTAAGGCAGCAAAGCTGTTAATAGTAGCGTGGGCTCTGCAGTTGGATTTGGTTTCCGCGCCTTGCCTAGGACACGTTATTCGGCAGGTCCTAGCCTCAGTTTCCTCATATGTGAAAGGGGAATGATAACAGAGGTTTTGTGTGGCACTCGATAAGCGTCTGGTGCATGTTAGATGCTGCTATTTTTATGGTCCTTCAGCACGATATATTTTATACGCTGCAATCACGGTTATCTACTCTTGGGTCATTACTACTATATTAACAGTGCCTGAACTTTGGATTTAGATAATCTTCCTCCCTGCAAAAATGGGTTTGTTAATATTCTCATAGGTAACATTAAACAGATGACTCTTTTTAAACAGATTGAAACTGTTTTTGAAACACAACGTCTGACACAGACTAGATTCTAAGTGAATGTGGGCCCTTGAGCTGTTAAGACTAGAGAGACGGCTTCCTGGTTCCTTGGTTCTCTGTGGCTTTTTTCTGTCTGGAGTCAAAGTCCCTTCCTTGCATTCACCGGTTTTGTGAGCCAAGGGAGGTTACAGATGCCCTGGATCTGGCCTGTGCTCACCTTTCTTCATTTCTGCTCCATTCTTTCTGTTGCCCAGTTTTCCTGTCACACTTGTTTTCTTGAATTGCACTTAAAACGCCAACTGCAGTATATCTTTCTTCTCAGGACCTTGGTAATTGCCCTTCCCTGCTCCTGTAGCTAACAGCTGGGCTGGGGGTGCCTGGCTCTTTCTCAGTCTTCACATCTTATTTCAAGTTAAGTCACTTCTCAGACTTTCCCTGGCTACTCTAATGTAGGTTTCTCCTGTAATTCTGTCCGAGAACCTTGTTCTTTTCTTTCTTTGTAGCTCTTGGTGGGAGTGGCTGGAAGAGCATGTGGGGACCAAAAATATAGCTGTGGTGAATTTTGGAAAATACAATATGCTGTAGTGCCGGCTCTCTAAATATTTTAATATGCCTTTTTTTCCCAACATGAGATTTTTGAGATGTATTCATATTGATATAAGTAGCTCTAGTTCACTCATTTTTCTGCTGGGCAGTAACTTTCCATTGTATAAATACACACTTTATACACTCTGTTGCTGGATATGCTGAATATCTTCCCCTTTTCTCTCCAAATTACTCTCCCTTCTCCACCATGCTCCAGGCTTCAGTAGACACCTTGGCTTTTGGCTTTTGCCTTTTGGCTTTCCCCTGGGTTCAGCCAATGGGGAGTCCCAACTAGGGAGCAGAGGAAGGGGGAACCAAAGTCAGGGTGTTTATTCCCCCAGTTTACTCCCTGTGGGCTTGCTTTGGGCTGACTATATGCTTTACCTGAAGGTCACTGCTTTCAGGCCTTTCCTTTGGCACTTTCTTTTCAGATTTAGGTTACCACTTGCTTCCTCCCTCCTTTCAGATGCAGGAGTGGCAACAGCTCTTCTTTTCTCCTTTGACTGCTAAACTGTCTTTTGTAGTTTTCCTATACTCAGCGCCTCCCAAACAATCTATTTTTAAACTCCCCTTTAATTATCTTAATTTTGAGTATGCCAGCTATTTCCTGATATAATGGACATGGAATTGTTTCTGTTTCTTTTTCCCCCCTTTTTTTAAGGTTTTATTTTTAGAGAGAGGGGAAAGGAGGGAGAAAGAGAAGGAGAGAAACATCAGTGTCTGGTTGCCTCTTGCGCACCCCCTACTGGGCCCCCAGCCCAGCCATGTGCCCCGACTGGCAATCGAACTGGTGACCTTTCACTTTGAGGGACAATGCCAAACCAGGTGAGCCACACTGGTCAAGGCCAATCAGAAATTTTAGAAGATAAAACCAGGAGCTGACCTTGGCGCCAAAGTTGGGGAGAAGGGCTTAAGGCAGGATGGTACACAGGATCAGATGTTGCAGGTGTCTAGGTGAATGTATGCTGAGCAGAGGATGGTGGGTTTGATTGTTATGTCACCTTGAGGAAAACAATTTCATTAGAATTTAGGGGGACCCCTGGCACACAGTGTTAGAGGAATGGCAGAGAGTGAGGATGTGAAGTCAGCCAGGGTAGGATTCTGTTTGGAACCATTTCATGATGCAAGGTAGACATAAAAAAGTAGCAGCTTAATGGAAGAGCAATGGTGAAGGAAGGCTGAAGGGTCTGAAATAGTAATGATAAAAACAACAGGAACATTTAACATTTATCAGGTGTTTATGGCAGCCAGGTACTATACTCTGAGTTGTGTGTAGATTATGTGATGTAATCTCCAAAATATCCCTGTCGAGGTAGCTATTAATGGTAATCCTCTTTTTACAATGGGAAAAAACAATCAAGCTCAAAAAGACTAGGCAACTTGACCTAAGTCTCATGATTGGTATGAGATGGATGTGGGGTTGAAAAAGTAAAAGGCAGGATAATTGTTGGAGAGAGATATCTGTGGAAATGGGATTTAGGGCTCAGAAGAGGGGTTGGCCCTGGGATCAAATGTACTCTTTGACCATCTCTCTGTCCTTCCGTCTGTCTGTCTACCAGGCCATATATCCACCATTCTACGAATCATATTTCCATCTCTTCATCTGTCTGTTTATCCATCTGTCGGTTCATTCATTTGCCCATTCACCAAATGTATTGAACACTTGCCTTGTTCCAGCCATGGTGCTGGATGCCAGGGTGCATTGGTGGGTGAAAAACATGTGATTCTGCATGTCTGGCACATAGGGACTTGGAAAGTCTGACATTAACCTGCCAGTCACACACACTAGTGGAAATCGCAGTTATGGCAAATGTCAGAAAAGGAGGGATTGCTTCCATGAGAGGCTCTCATTGGAGCATTAAATAGGGACATCCAAGGCGGGCTTCCTTGAGGATGGGGTGTGTCATCTAATTGCTGAAGGATGATTAGGAGTTAACTGGACCTTGAATGGAGGGAAGACCTTGTGGGCCATGGGCAGGTCAAGTTTGAAAGTGTAGCATGGTGGGACTGGAAAGGGAAGAATGAGGGAAGAAAGCCATTGAATCTGGAGCAGTGTGGTATGAGAGGACACTGGAGAATGGGGTGGGGGGTGGCCGACTTTGTCTCTACCTAACAGCACCAAAGCGTTTTAAGCTGCGTGTGTGAAGAAACAGGGACACATAATCCGATACCCATTTTGAAAAGAATAATCTGGCTCCAGCAATAACAACAAGAGAATTGCACACCAACTTACAAGGAATTTGGTGTGCAATCTGATTGAAAGCTGGAGCTCAAGAACTTGTCTTGAAGATCATTTCCATAGCACCACATTATTTATTGTCAGTGACTGGAGGTGCATGCAGTCATGGTGGTGGGAGTTCCCAGTGGGGATCAGGGGGTGCTGAGATATTGAAGCTCCCTAGCCCTTTGGAGCTGCCACAGGGCTGCCATTGAGGCCAGAGAAAAAGAGAGTTGTTCACCTGAAGAAGAAGGGGGGGAGGGTGCTGTAGAAAGACTTAGGAGATAAATTGTTGAGCTAGGAAGAGGGAAAATGACCCTGGGCTTCTCTAGAAGTGTGGCCTGCACTTGGTCTCCTCTGTGGGCCTAGCAGTGGGCATGCCCTGTCTGGGTCTTATAGTGCAGGGCTTTTAGAGGCTCCTCCTTGAAGCCTTAGGCTTAGAATCCCTAGTCTTGTTGGTTTACTTCACTAGGTGTCGAACCTCTAGTCCACCCCTAAACTGCCTTTGTCGCTGTCACTGACTCTTCCATCGGTTCTAGTTCCCCATTAGCATTGCTGGTGACTTTGAGAGATGCCTTTAAGGTCCAGTGTCAGTCCAGGCTCTGCAGCAGGAAGGTAGAGCCTTGAGCTGATACAGTTGCCCCAAGGGCAGGCATGGAAGAGAAAGAGAAGGAACTGGATTTTCCAGTCTGTTGCTCAAAGACAAACTGCCTGTCAAAGAGGTTCAGTTAACTCAAGCAACAGTGTCCAGCCTCACATTCCTTAAAGCTCTAACACTCGCTACTAGAAGCGCCCTCCAGAATTAGCTGGTTAAACAGTTTGTTTCTCAAGTGAAGTATGGCAGGTACTGTGTTTGTCCATGTATAATGTACTCCCATCTATAACGTGAACCCACCTTTTTGGCCCAAACTTTCAGGAAAAATATCTTTTGTTTTAATTGATTTATTTATATTTAGACACTTGTTTTTTGTATTATAAAGCAATTTTAGCATTTTTCTTTGAACATATTATGGTACAAAAATTTTATATAACAATCACAAAACACAAGAACAGATACATGGTATTTTTAGGTACTACCAATGTATAATGTGCATCCTTATTTTTCCTTCAAAATTTTGGGCAAAAAAGTACACATTATACATGGCAAAATACAGAAATGAAAGAGCATTGTCCTAATCTGTTTGGGCTGCTGTAAGAATACCACAGACTGAGTGGTTTATAAACAGTAGAAATTATTGCTCACTGTTCTGGAGGCTGGAGGTCCAAGATCAAGGTACTTGTAGATTCAGTGTCTAGCGAGAACCCTCTTCCTGTTCAAAGAAAACCATCTTCTCGCTGTGTCCGGACTTGACAGAAAGAATGAGGAAGCTCTCTGGGATGTCTTTTATAAGTACACTAAGCCCTCAAAACCTAATCACCTCCCAAACGCCCCCACCTCCAGATCACATAGAGGGTTAGGTTTCAGCGTAAGAATTTGGGTAAAGGGGACACAGATATTCAGCCTCTGGCAAGCACCTTTCTCTAAGATAACTTCCTCCCTGGTGATTTACATGAGCAACAGTATTCCCCTTCATTTCTTCTTGCAGTGTTACAGGT